TTTTTTTGTGAGCAATATGAAAAAGCTTTTCCGGAGAAAAAAATTGTTATAAATACCAAGTCATATCAAGTTCCATGGATGTCTAAAGGCTTATTAAAATCTTCAAAGAAAAAAAAAAGTTGTATGAAAAATTCTTAAAAAAAAACCCGTATAAAAACGAAACAAACTATAAACTTTATAAAAATATATTTGAAAAAACTAAACAACAATCAAAAAAAATTTACTATTAAAGTTGTTAAAAAAAACTAGCGGAAATGCCAAAAGTACGTGGAGCGTAATTAAAGAAATTATTGGCAGAAAAAATAATGGATTAAGTATTTAACCAAAGAAACTCTTTGTAGATGGTAAAATTATATATGACAAGTCAATAGTAGCTGAAAATCTAAACAGCTTCTTTCTTAGTATTGGTCCAAACTTATCTGAAAAAATTCCTTGAGGCTCATCATCGTTTGATTCTTATTTAAAAATATATGATAAGGTCATGGACGAATCTAAACTAGATATTAATGAGTTACGATATGCTCTAGATAATCTTAAAAACAACACATGTGTAGGTTTTGATAATATTAGCATAAATGTTGTTAAATCAGTTTTTCATATTATAGAAACTTCTTTATATCACATTTTTAATCTTTCTCTTCAATCTGGAACAGTTCTAGAAAAATTAAAAATTGCACGGGTCTTGCCTATTTTTAAGTCTGGCGATGACACAGATTCTTCAAATTATAGACCAATATCAGTTTTACCATGCTTTTCTAAGTTACTCGAGCGTATAATGTATAATAGGGTAAACAGCTACTTAACAGTAAATAACATGTTGTACAACAAGCAATTTGGCTTTAAAAAAAACATTCAACTGATCACGCTTTGACCGAGTTAGTAACTCATGTAACCAATGCCTTTAATGATGACCGTTTTACATTAGGAGTATTTATTGATCTGTCTAAAGCCTTTGACACAGTCAACCATGTCATTCTTTTAAAAAAACTTGAACATTATGGAATAAAAAACAATAATTTACTATGGTTTAAAGATTACTTATCAAACAGACAGCAATACATTCAATATGAAAATGTTAAAACGACAAAAAGTATAATAAAATGTGGAGTTCCTCAAGGCTCAACCTTAGGACCGTTACTGTTTTCTCTTTATATAAATGATCTATCACTTACCTCGAACATACTAAACTTTATTTTGTTTGCTGATGACTCCAATCTGTTTTATTCCCATAGAGATATTAAAACCCTTTTTAAAGTAGTTAATGAAGAAGTAAACAAAGTAAATGAATGGTTTATTTGTAATAAACTTTCACTTAACGCTAACAAAACTAAATTTATTCTATTTCACAAACCAACCAAAACAGGAAACCTTCCTTTAAAATTACCCAATCTTAAAATCAATAATATAAATATCACTAGGCAAACAACTGTAAACTTTTAAGGTATTATTTTAGACGAAAACTTAACATGGAGGAAACACTCTTGAAAAAAAAATTTCAATAAACATTGCAATGATGTATGAAGCAAAACCATTTTTGAATATAAGATCTCTAAAAAGTTTATATTTTTCCTTCATACGTTGCTATCTAACTTACGGCAATATCGTATGGGCAAGCAACAGCTACGCTAAGTTAAAGAAAATTTATACTAAACAAAAACATGCATGTAGAATTGTATTTGGAGTAAAAAGAACTGTGCCTTGTGAGCCACTTTTACGTAAACTCGATGCATTAAATGTGTTTAAAATTAACATATTCCTCGTCATACAGTTCATGTATCAAATAAAACATGGGCTGTCTCCAGCGATATTCTATCCTTATTTTAGAGAAGTAAGCCATAAATACCCCACCAAGTTCTCAGAAAATAACTTTGTAACTCAAAAGTATAATCTAAAGTTATGTACTTATTCTATTCAGTACAGGGGTCCAATTTTGTGGAAAAACTTTCAGCATATTGTTAATATTAAAGAAAAAACACTTCCGCAATTCAAATCTAAATTAAGACGTTATTTAGTACTTACGGATTTTAATATAGCAGATCTTCTATGTCACTTTTAAAGCTTTAAAATTTATTAAACTAAATTAGCACCATAAATTTAAAAATCTAGACCATTTAACAGTACTAAGAATTTCAATGTCTTTATCATACTTTCATTGAAAATATATATTCTCTTAAAGTTACCTACAATTTTCTTGATATATTTTATAATATTGGAACAGAATTTTTATTTGAATTTTGAATTATTTTGAAAGAAAATAATATATACAAATATATATGTCGAATCACATCCTATTTATAACCAAAAACAGAAAAATTTTGTCATTTTTATTACTATATTTTAATCATTTCTTTTTATTTTTTTTTTATTTATCTTCAATTATTTTAATACTTTTTTTTTTTCTTTTTTTTCTTTCTAACTTTGTTTCTTAACATTTTAAATTGTCTTTTTTTAAATACTTTTGCTTATATATTACGGATTATTGTGTATTACGGATATTTATTTGCGTTAATATTGGGGCTCGGTGATAAGGCTATTTTATGCCTTCTTCTTGCTCCAGCCAATTGTACTTTTTATATTGTTGTACTTTGTAAATATTTTTAACGGCGAAATAAACTAATAAACTAAACTAAACTAAACTAAACATATAAATTCTATTTATTTATTTTTGATTTTTGTGTAAATTCTGTAAGATGAGATAAGTAACTATATATTTGCTGAATTAACGAGTTTTTCCGTTAATTTAAACGGAAAAAATGAAAAACGGAAACCGTGAATTTTACGAAGATATTCTTAACGGACTTTTTCTGTTGATTTTAACGGAAATTAAAAACTACGGAGATCGTTGATTTTTACGGAGAAAGTGGTGTCACTTTGCAGACGGACATTTTCATTGACTCTACGGCGAAATTTTTAACATAAAATGCTAAATTGTCAATAAATAACGCAACGCTAAATTTATTTTTAAAAAAGAAAAAGGAGATTTTAAGTTCTTTTAGGTGGCAATTTTCATTAAACTTAATGAGCTATTTCGATTTTTGATTTATCTAACGACGCTGCAAGAGAAAAATTTTGATCTTTTTTGTTTTGTTCATTAGTAAAATTTAGCGTTTCGTAATTTATAGACGATCCCTAATCTAAAAGTTAAGCCAAGAAATAATTGAGTTTAAAAAAAATCTTTGATGGTTATCTTTATTTTGTCTACTCGGTTAAGAATGTTACTCGGTTAAGAATGCTAAATTTCCTTATTATATCAATCAGCTTGCTTTTTTCAAAAAGTATTTGTTATTTAAAATAAAAAATAAAATAACTTTATAGTTCTATAGATTTTATATTCTATATTAAAACATGTTTTATACTCATTGCCCTTGCATAAACTCAACTTATTTGTAAAACTTGAAATGTAAAACTAAAATAACATAAGTATCTCAATTTTGACATCCTACCCCCCCACCCCTACCCCAATCCTCCGTTTTTTTGATTTTTTTAGAATTTTTATTTTTTTAAAAAAACTTTTTGTTTGTTCTCTATAAATCTAAACTCTAAAAATCTTTATTTTATAGGATTCATGAGCTATGGCTGCTAGCTATAGGAATCATAAACTATGGCTGCCAGGACTGAACCATGGCTGTTGTCCATAGGCTCGGCGCGCTATCCACTCGACCACGCTGGCACATTGATTAATAAAGTTTTTAAAGTTTTAATTAAGTAAAATAAATAAAAGTTTTAAAATTTAAAAAATTTAAAAAATTATATTTTTAACGGAAAAAAAAATTTTTTTAACGGAAATAAATACTGTAGATTAAAATTAAGGAGAGGTTGACGCAACGCAATTTTCAAGTGAAAGTCAAATTGCAAAACTTGATATATATTTAAGTATGTTTTAACATTATAAAATTTGAAGTTTAGGTACGTTAGATATTTACTTACACTTTCGTTCACATTTTTTATAGAGCAAAAGGCCCATTTTTAAATTTAGGGACCTTTTGGAAGTTTAAAGATCTTTCTTTAATTTAAGCAAATTTTCCAATGAATTTTTTTTTTTTTTTTGAGAGAAGAAGGGGTGGGAGGAGGTGATGTGGGCCGGCCTTAGACCATTAAAACTGATAGACACGGGGTTTTTGTAAATCTTTGAAGCCAAAGATTTTCAGAGAGTGTGACGTCACTTTGAAGCAAAAAACGACGTCACTAAACTGACGTCGCTAAGCAAAACTTTTTTGGGTTTCATTTTTAGATAATCATTTTAGATTATTATTGCTAACGCCTTGTCCATCAGTTTTAATGGTTTAAGGGGCCGACCCTCTTCTAGCATTACGCGTGTGCCATAAAAATCAACGGTATCCTTCACGTCCGCAAACATAAAAATAATATCCCTTAAATTAGATAATGTAGCAGCAGTTTCCTACATTTCTCCCCAAATCAGTAATATATCTGATCTTCGTTTTTTGAAAAATCGAAACCTCATTTTGAGTCATAGTATCTTTCGCTCACCCCCTTAAATGCAAGACACTTATCATAGCCCTTACTTATTAAGCCTCTCGACCACTTATTCAAGTCACCCGGTGTAAGTACACTCTGTTCTTTATATGTCCCTTCACCCTATTTGTCACTGGCAAATGGGGTGAAGGGACAATTTCAGGTACTTATGTCCAAAAAAAGTAGTTAATTTTAGTTTTAATACATATAAATCCAGTTTGACTATTGTAATTTAATAAAAGTATTTTATTATAACTTATTGATTATAATAATATTATTATAAATAAGTTATAATGAAATATTTTTATTAAATTACAATAGTTAAACTGGATTTGTATATTATTAATTTAAATTAATACCAATATTAATATTGGGTTAGTATTTATTTGTAGCTTTTTTGCATTTATTAATTGATTGATTTAAAATAATGAGCACAGTATGCAAATATATATTAAATAGTTGAACTAAATCAGATAATAAATATATTATATAGCTATATCTAAGTATATATTATAATTTATAATGTATTTGTATATAAAGTTAAACATATATTCAATATGAACAAATATATACTAATGTCGTACTAATAACAAAGTTTCTTATTGACACGACTAAAGTTTTGGACGCATCAAAAGGTATTGCTAGAGTTGTAAATCATTAGTATAAAATGCCAAGAGTAGGTGACTGTTTTAATTTTCATCCTATGAAATTGAGCTATGGATTTCTCTTTACAATAGAGAAAGTAGAACAATTGAATCAGCCAGAAAAAAAGAGATCAAGAGATTTGTTAAAGAAAGTTTGAAGTTTTATACAATACATTATGCATGCTACCATGGTGTAAAAAATTTCATTAGTAAATCAACTGGAAAATGACCAAATCAAAGGTAAATAAATACGTAAGCTATTAACATAATTGATAATTATTTAAGATTTCATTTGAATGATAGGGAAAAAAAGTCTTTCTGCTATAGTTACTAAACAAAAAAAAAATGTTTTTATATGATTATATCATTTACTTCATTACATTGTCTAAATGTATCATTTTGTTGTTTTGATAACAGTCATTATTTGCTTGCGTGTGTATATTTGTGTGTGTGTGTGTGTTTTATTGCAACAACACACACACACAGCAATATTGTACACACACAGCAGTATTGTAAATATTATATTATACACACACACACAACACAATATTATACACACAGTAATATCATACAACACAACATAATATTATACACTCAGCAATATTGCTGTTAAGAAAAAGTTACTAAAAATTTAGTTTCTAAAACTAAATTTATATATATATATATATATATATATATATATATATATATATATATATATATATATATATATATATATATATATATATATATATATATATATATATATATATATATATATGTTTTAACGATTTGACCGCGGCATATTTTTAAAATTTAAAAACGCACTACAAAAACTTAACTAAACCTATCTAAAAAAAAAATTGAAAAAAATAATAAATATATAATGAAAGAAAAAATGAAAAAAAAAAATACTTAGTTAAACCAAAAACACAAAAAAATAAATATATATATATATAACGCAACTAAAACAAAACTCATCAAACTAAAATGCTGAGTCTATTTAATTTACGCATTAAAATACCTTTTCAATCTTTGTTTCAACATTTTTATATATTTTTTATTTGTTTAATATGTTCAGAAGTTAAATATTTCTTATAAATAAAATAAAAAAACATTTTATAAATACTTTTTTTTTAATTAATTAGAAGTGTTTGTTTTTTTTACTTCATTAAAATGTGTTTTGATAATATAAAAGCATTTAAGAAAAAACTTTTTTTTTTAACGAAATTTTGTTTATCTTTTTAGATGCATTAACAGGCCTTGTGATGAATAAAAGCTGCGCGATGCATAAGCACGACGTGATTTTTGACGTCATTAAATTCTTTTTATTTGCTTTTCATATTTATCGATATTAACTACACCAGTTTACTTAATTACTGCAAAACTACTTTAAATCATTAATGTAGAAATGTTATTATTTAAAAATGTTTCGTTTCGTTTTTTAAAATGTAAAAACATTGGTTTATTTTCTCTATGTTTGACAGGTTTTGTCTACTAAACGAATGAAAAACATTATAACTAAACATTTAAAAAAGATTATAAAATATGCTAATATTTGATTTTCTCAAATAAATAATTTAAAGTTCTTCAAATAATTATTTTTTCTTTTTAAAAAGTCAGCGAGTAATAAACTGGAAATTTTAATATTGTACGATTAAAAACTGTGCAACAGGTAATATTCTTACTAGCGATTTTAAAAAAATATTTTTTTATTTACTTATTTTTATTTATTTTCATAAAGCGGTTGATAAGCACAATCACTCGTATTACTAAAAATCTTTAACGAACGTTTTGAATAGATTTTTAATGTGTGATTTTTAATGAGTTTTATTTCTGGTAAAATAAAATAAAATGTTAGAATAAAAATCTTATAGGTATAAAAGACATATTTCAGCAAAAAAATTGTTTTTAAAAATTATTCTTAAAAATTATTCAAAAAACTATTGACGTTCTATTTTTCAGCAGCTGATCTTGAGCACGCTTCGTTGAGTTTCGGTCTCTTTTAACAAAAAAGCGATTGTTATTATTTTAAGTAACTTTTTTTGAGTTACTTTTTACAAAAATTTTAATAGTTGTACTTTTTTATTGAATCAAGTAGAATAGGTTTTAATATTAATCTTTTTATTTTTTTTTATTTGCGCTTACCAATTTTTAAAATGTTTCCTCGAAATTACTCTTAAATACTTTAAATACGTCTAACAGTTGATAAATATTTTTAAATCTATTGAATAATTTTAAAACCTAACAAACCCCCGTAAAATAATTATTTAAGTTAAAAATTTAAAACTAAAAGAAAGTATTTTTGTTCAATTTTATCGACAACTTTGCTATTGCTGAATAATTTTATTAAAATGTTAGCTTTAAAAAATTAAAACTTTTTTTTTAATCTGACTTTTTTCTACTTGTAAATAACGAGCATATTTAATTTGTTTGTAATTCAAACTTTTATCAACTGTGTGCGGTTTTTAAAATACTTTATTAAATGTTAAAATAATCGTAAATTACTTCATTTACATTCCGCTCAAAAATATCTTTAAATATACTCAAACAAAAATTTTTTTGCTCGACGCAAATAGCCCTAGCTACACGCAAAATTGCTCTTGGACGATGTAAAATTCACATCGCCCGACGCTTTATCGCAAGGCCTGCATTAACTTTAATCATTCTTATATTTAAATTCGTTAAAGAGACTTTTGTAGTCATAGAATTTCATCTTTTATAAAAACAAAACAATTTTTTATTTTTAATAAGATTTGTTTTAGAAATGAACACTTAAACAATTTATATGTTTTAAATTAAAAAATGTATACAACTGTCAATTATATTTAAAAAACAAAACTTTTTTTTAGTAAATTGTTACTTTATTTAAAATCGTTTCGCTAAAATAAAAACATTTGTTAAGAAGTTTTGATGTAATTAATTTCACTTTTTTAGAATATTTTTTATTTAGCGTTTTTCTAAAATATTTTTTGAATTAGCCACGGTCAAACTGTCATAGCAAAGTATAACTTGCGTGGTCATATAAAGGCGTGAAATTGCACGTCTTCCTGTGAAAGCCTGATAGATGGACAATAGCATATATATATATATATATATATATATATATATATATTATATATATATATATATCGCAAAAAAAACACCAGTTTTCCGCTAAAGTTGGCTGAAACAGGGGGAAGGGGGTTCTGCCGCCAAAATTTTTTACCTAGAATAGGCCCTGTGTGTGTATATATATATATATATATATATATATATATATATATATATATATATATATATATATATATATATATATATATATATATATATATATATATATATATATATATATATATATATATATATATATATATATATATACTCTTGCATGTCTCTTGCGTGGCATCAAAAAATGTTTCCCATAAACTGTAGTTTTAAAGAGCGCGTTAATAAACCAGACCAGAAAAAGTTTTAAAAATTGAATTTTTTTTTTTAATTGATAGACTGCCTGGCCAAACCAAACCCTCAGTCGATGTAGCAGCACTCTCTTGCGAGTCAGGCTATTTGTCAGTCGTTGTAGCAGCACTCCCTTGCGAGTCAGGCTATTTGTCAGTCGATGTAGCAGCATTCCCTTGCGAGTCAGGCTATTTGTCAGTCGATGTAGCAGCACTCCGTTGCGAATCAGGCTATTTGTCAGTCGATGTAGCAGCACTCCGTTGCGAGTCAGGCTATTTGTCAGTCGATGTAGCAGCACTCCGTTGCGAGTCAAGCTATAAGATAGTCGATGTAGCAACATTTACGCATGTTTAAAAAATGTTTTTTATTAAATCAATAACAAAAACACCACTAATTAAAAAAAACTTTGTAGTCTTTATAATTGCGGTTTTTTAAAAATTTTTTAAAAAACAATTAAATTTAATGTACTTCCGCATAAATTAATTGCTTTGACATTTCGATGACAATCAAAAACAGCTTAAGAGACGAGGTAATTAAAATTGTAGTCATAAGAGACTTTTTTTACATTAAAATGCTCTTAAAGCTACACTATATGGGTGTATATATATATATATATATATATATATATATATATATATATATATATATATATATATATATATATATATATATATATATATATATATATATATATATATATATATATATATATATATATATAAAATAGTAAAAGCATTGATATCATTTTTTTTTCAGCAATTTGTTTCTCCATTAAAAAATTTAAATTATAGTAAAAATTTTTTACATGAAGTTAGAAATTATTATAATAATTTATTGAATAACTTTAGTTAATTCGCAACAATGAAGTTGCATTAACTACTTAAAAAAATTAAAATATTATTCATGAAAAAGATTTTTTAGAATTTTATTAGAACTGTGATAATTTTAGTTTTGGTCATTGGTTTTTACAATTTTTTAAAAGATACTTATTTTTATGTTTATTTGCATTTAGAAATTAATTCAGATTTTTTTTTATTCAATTTTCTTGATCCAATTGATTAATAATTTCAAATTTTTCTTGTAGATATAGTGTATATTTTCTGGAAATGTTATTATAGGCAGCCACAGTTTTTAGAATAGACCATAGAAAAGTCTAGTTAAGTATTTTTTAATAATTTACTATCACTCTGTTCTTTAAGAACATTTAGCCCTCTTCTCTTTCTCTTTCAAGCCTTTCCGGGAAGCGCATGCAGTCGCACGCCTTTAATGCTTTTGTCCACATTTAAAGTAATTTTTTTAGGCTAACTGACCTTGGCAGTTCGCATCTTTTAACTTATAAAGCATTTCTATAATTCGCAGCAAAAGCTAAACTTATTCACTAAAAAAACAAAAACAATTCTTAAATAAGGAAACAAAATTGTAGCGAAATTTTAAGTGTAATTAAATAAGGATAAAAATTTATTAATTAAAAAAGTTATTTTAACAACTTTTTTGTTCTTTTTTTAGAGTCGTAGTTGACAAAAGTATCTTTTATAACGATTTAATAACAATTTAAAGTTTTGATATGCAACTTTTATTTAACTTAGTTTAATAAAAGAATAACTTTTTTAATAAATATATTTACCGTATTTGATGAATTTATGAAATTTTTTCTTTTATATTGCCCTATTTCCATTGTTAATACGAATTACTAGAGATAATGAACTTAACGATTGCTCTGTTTAAAAAAATGTATTTAAAAACTTAAACAAAAGTTTCGAATAAACTCCTAAAATTTTTCTTAAGAAAAGAGAGTTCAGTAAATTAACAATGTACTAGCCCACAATATTTTGCAGTATCGTTTCATTTTTTTACACAAAAAACTTGTTCAAAAAAAAAAAAAATTCTCAAATAAATAGCAATTATTTTTCTCGCCTTTTTCCTGTCCATTAATAAAAACAGTGAAATTTAGCAAAGACATTTGAAAAACAAACAATTTAAAAACTGTCTGTGTTTCAAGCGGATTTTGTAAAGTTTTTCTTTTACATACTGACTGAAAAAAGTTGGGAAAAAATTATATATCAAAAAATATTTTTATTTTCGATATATTCTTATCTACTTTTTTCCTTGACTTTTATCAATTTTGGTAGTGGAAAATAACAAACGCTCTAGATATAAGAAAACAAAAACAGTAAATTTTTAGTTATATATATATATATATATATATATATATATATATATATACTGTATAGCAATATATATATATATATATATATATATATATATATATATATATATATATATATATATATATATATATATA